CTCTCTCCGCGCTCACGACACGGCACGCCGACGCGCCATAAATATTAGCTCCTCCACGCAGAGAGATTTGTGGCCTAATATTGATTTACGGGGTAGCCAATAGGTTTTGTGGACCTACATCCCTTATGGCATTGTCAATGGAGGGCCCCGCCGAGCGGCCGCGCCCCGTATGGAGGCCGCCGGCCGGCGGGGTGGGTGTGGTGACGGGCGGGGGCGGGCGGGGGAGAGATAGCCCCCGTCAGATAGGAGATAGCGCATGGGTAAAAGGGTAGCACGGCGCGCCGGGGTTGTGTGGAGGAGGGAAGGGGAGAGTCACTTCGCAAAGCACACATAACAGCGGCAGACTTTGCGGCGGCAAAGAATGCGGTCGTGGTGGAGGGGGGCAGTCGCGTGATCAAGTTTTATTGGCGACCGCAACATGAACCTTGCATTTCTATTAACTCGACTACGGCGCGCCGCCGGGCAGAGCAGGCTACTACTTCTCTGCTCCTCCTCCTCCTCCTCATCACACACGTACGCACGCACACACCCAACAAGCTCACTAGTGGGACGGTGGCGGGGGTGGTGGGGGCGGTGGGCTCACTCGGCCGAGCGGGGCAAAATGTAAAGCAAGAAAAATGGGACAGATTTGCGCTGCTGGGTGCTAGGCGTCGCAGCGCAACCCGCCGCCACCTCATACCCTCGGTGAGCTCAGCTAGGGCTGGCCGTGCTACTATACGGACTTCCCTGCAAGCTGCCCACCCCGCCCCGCCGCGCCCCACCTCGCAGCACCGTGTGGACATGGGCATGTGCGGCTCGGGCTGCTGCCAGCCGTCCCTACACCAGGACTTTCCCTGGGAGCGGCGTGGGCGGGGCGCCGCTTGCGGCTTACAGCAGCAGAGCAGTGTGTCGGCGGGACGGGCGGGCGAGGCGGGGCGGCGAGGCGGGGCGGCGAGACGGACGGGGTGCCCCGCATAGTAGATTACCAAGGAAACTTTTGATTGGGCATTACTCTGAGTGAAGAGCCGACACCACCCGGCACCCGGCCCACCGGCCAGGCCTCGGGCCAGGCGAACCCTGCAGCCTTCGCAAAAAGCCTTCCGAAACCGGGGCGTGGAGGATCGTCGTACGTTTTCACGCGGACGTCACATGGGTTTCGGGGAGAGAGAGGGGGGGAGATGCGATCTAGATGGGGAGAGTGTGGGGGATGGGATGCGGACGAAAGTGGAGGAGCAAGTCGCTCTGGTTAGGCCGGGCTGAGTGGCCCCCGGCGCGCCTAGGCCCGCGGCTCAGCTCGGCCCGCCCCCCGCTCAGCCAACACCTTGCACTTGCCTGGCGCCAGCTAGTCCTCCCAGAGCAGCGCCATCTCAGCCTCCCAGCTCTACCAAACCCCCTTGTCCTGCAAGATGAGGCAGGAGGAGGACGGGGCAAAAATATATCGGAATAAGGGCTTTTCAATCCCTATCGGGCGCTCGCTCTGGCGCCTCTCCTATTCCCTGCTCCGCCCGAGCCGAGACGCGCTGCAGGGGCCGCTGGCGCGCGCGAATAAAGTTTCAACTTTTGCTACGTCGGCAAACGAGGGGCATAACGTGCAAAGTTCGCGTCCACGCCGATCATTCTGCCTCGCTTATTATTGTATTTTTTTCTTTTCCTGCTGCCAGTGTATCGGACGGCGATGAAAGGGGACACTGGGAAGGGAGGGCGGGGTCACCCTCTGTGAGTGTGTATGTGTGTGTTTCTCCGCGCCCGTGTGTGTGTGAGTGTGTTTGGCGTGTCCCCCGGACGTTCCTCCGAGCTTCGTATCGGGGAAGAATAATCACGCACCCGGGCCCCTTAATGAAGGGTGAAATGTGGAGCCGTGTCGGGGGCGGGGACCTGAGGGGCCCTGCGGGGACGCGGGCCGCGGGGACCGAAATGTCACCCAGGGTGGTCGCCCCCGTATTTTTTAACTCAATGATCCGCTGAAGTTATTGGAGAGGTGTGACGATGACATCGCCCTCTCCCTCCCCGCCCTCCCCCCCCTCCGACTCCTCCAGCTCCACCCGCCACTAACCTCTCACTGGCAGGTGAGGAGGGGGGAACACCAGCTCTCTCCCCGTCCTCCCCCCTCCCCCTCCTCCTCTGCGTGCCGCTCCCCCCGCGCCAGAGATCTTTTTGGCACCCATCCCAGCGCAGTTTAGAGAGAGGGGGAGGGGGGAGAGGGAGGGAGAAGCAACGGACGAGAGCGAGAGGGGCGCAAAACAAAAACAAGAAACTGCCAAACGCTAGCGACGACGCGCGCTAGCAGCCCCGCAAATTGGCATTCCCCGTAAGCAAATATTTGGTCGTAAGGTCGAGTGGTGACGGGGTGGGTGGCCGGGCCGTGGAGGCGAGGGGCCGTCTGTGCCGCCCGTGCCGGCACCGCGCCTTTGACTAGGAGAGCGCCAGCGAAAGTTTGACCCTGGGCCTGGGCAGTGTTCGCCGACCGCGCGGCGCGCGGCCCGTCCGCGGCCGGCCTCGCCACCGCCATACCATCCATCCCCGCAAAGCGGCCCGCGGCGGGAGCCCAAACTTTGGGGCATCCTTGACTGTGAAAAGAGTGCGTCTTTCGGCGTTATCAGGTGGAAAAGGACGACTCCCGCTCCCGCCGCACTTCTCCCTGCGGGTTAATCTCCCCCTGCGTCGCTCGGCTCGCGCAAGACTTTGCCTGAGCTCCACTTACTTTTGAATTATTCCCGCCAAAGTCGCCGAGCCGGTCGGCAGAGGGGAAGGTAAAAGCGCGGCGCGGCCTCGGCCCGACCGAGCCAGTCGGCTCCCCGGGGAGGCGCGTTGTAGTCGGGCTCGAGGAGGAGGTGTTCCCGAGGGTGTAACCCCGCCTGCGGGCCCGGCGCGCCCCGGCGCCTCCCGCCCCGGCGGCACGTCCCGCCCGCCGTCCCGGCACGCGAGCGCCTCCCGCTGTTCCGTGCTGTGCCGGTGATGAAACGTAGCCGGGCTCACTCTGTCTCTGTTTCTCTGTTGCAGGCGAGGCCGTAGGGCGGCCATAGGCGAGCCATAGAGGCACCAGCGGGCACCAGCAGGCCTCTGAGTTATTGAGGGAATGAATTGGGCCACTTGAGCGGCGGCGGCGGCGGCTCAGGAGGCGAGTCTGCCACGTCTGGTCTCGGACGAGACCGTTTCCTCTTCGACGACAACGACGCCTGCGCGGGACATAGCAGCACGCCCCCACGCCGCGCCCCGGCCGCGGCAGCCGTCATGCCGGCCCGATGGAAATAGTTCGGCCGAACAACACATTACGCCCCGGGGCCGCGCGGGCCCGGGGGCCGCTAATCCCTCCCCGCTGCGGGGGCCGCCCTCGGGCCTGCCGCTGCCGCCCCCGGCGCCGCCTCTCGGCATGGCGCCCCGCCGCCCCTTCTGACCGACGGTAGAGGATGCAAGAGGACGGCGGGGGCGGCGCGGGCAACGGCAGCGTGGGCATCGGCGACCTGGACGGGCGGAGCATGAGCGGGGGCTTGGACGCCGGCGACCTCCTCAGCAAGTGCGGCGGCCTCGGCCCCAACGTGTTCAAGGCCCTGCTGCACTTCATCGCCAACGTGACGCGCGACGGCGTGCTCCACAACATCACCCAGGTAGGCGGCCCTCGCTGGCAACACCCCGCACACCCCACCAGCAGCACCGTCGTCGCGTTCTACAGTTTAGCGACAGTGATGAAAAATCGCGACGTAAATTTTACGGACGGGCCCCGCCTAATCCCCGCGTCGCCGTCCCTCCTCACGATCGCGGGCAGCAGGGGCAGGAACAACAACAACAAAGTTGCGCGCTGCAGCAGTCCGCACTCAGCGCGGCACGCCCGGGAAAAGACGACGCCGTTTTGTACTTTACTGCATAGGCAACACTACGATGGCGATGGGGCGGCAGTCGAGCTTACTCAGCGGCAGCAGCGCGTGCAGAGGGCAGCGGGGCGCGGCGCATTACGGGGTACTTCCTCGGCGACAAATGTGGCAGCCCGGTGCTCTGGTCACTGGCTGCGCTCGGCTGCGCCCGGCGCCACACCACCGCCGTGCACCGCATGTTGCCCTGCATAAAGTGGCAGGCTGACGCGCCTCGACGTCCGTCCGCGCGCGCCCAGCCGCGCACAGCTGCAGCAGCTGCAGCGGGCCCGGGCTTTACGGCGGACCGTTGCCCCGCCACTGGTGGTGGAATGCAGCCACTTTCGCGACAAATCAGTCACCGTCGCGCGCGTGTGTGCGTGCGATGCGTTTCCACGCTCGGAGGAGTAGTTGAGTGCGGATGGGTCCGACCCTTCCCAACAGCAAGCAGCCGTACTCTGCAGTGCTTGCGTCCTCTCCGATACGCAGTATCGCGGACGCGTTGCGTCGCCCAACAACCGAACAAGCGATTAAGAACGGCGAGTTTGCCACTTACAGCGAATGGGGGGCTGCTGGTACTGCTGGTGGCAGTTTTGCGGCGGGACCCTGCTGCTGGGTCGGGGGTACTTAAACCGCCATCCGTACGTACACCCGCCGCACCACCACCCCGGGGGCAATCAGTCCAAGTTCGGCCCGCGGTGTTCAACTCACTTGCGGGGGGAACGGGACGCTCTACTCGCCGAACAGGGCGGGGTGGGGCGGTGGCGTGGGGCCGAGGGAGGCGAGGAACGAGTCCTGTCCGACGCGCAGCCCGCCTTTGATCTTTGCGGTGATCACGTGGTATCACTTAGCCCAGGTGGAGTGCGGCCCACGCCACGCCCGGCGGCCACCCCGGGGACCGCAGGGGGGCCGCAGGGGGGGGCAGCCGCACCCGAAGCACTCTACTTCATTGCTTTCGTTTTCTCCACAGATTTCGTTTTATCTTTACCGGACGAAACGGGCGTTGCTGGACCCTTGCTCTCACCAACGCTCACGCTCTTTACTCGCTTGCCCTTTTCACCCATCCAGGGAATCTATCTATCTATCTATCTATCTATCTATCTATCTATCTATCTATCTATCTATCTATCTATCTATCTATCTATCTATCTATCTATCTATCTATC